TTACTTGTAGGAATCAAAAGCAAAACTGTTTTTCCACTTCATTCATAATTCAATTTGTGACAATTTTTAAAAAACATCAAAACAATGACAATTGTTAAAAGAAATTGTTTGTAAAATGGCAATTGCTATAAATTATTCTTCTCCTTAACAAACCATATTGTAAGAAGAACTATTTTTTTAGTCGAACTAGTTTCCAAAGAATAATGCGCTGGCTTAAAATAATTATGTGAAGATGTTTAATGGGCCTTAAACTAAACCCATTTTCGCTGTATACACAGGCCTATAGTAGTGTACTAAAAAGAAATAAATTATTTTGAGTTTTTTTTAATCTTTCTGGAAAAGCCGAAGACGAATCATGAATCATGGTCAGCTCAGTAAAATTTGTTGGTGGATATATTGCTTTTATGCGGGCATTATGATGAATAGGAGAATTAGTTACGGGGTCTCTATCATATGCATGCTTTGTCTTGAAACTTTCGTTGAGATAAATTTCGTTTCTCAAACTAATTACATAACTATCACCTTTTTAGTAACTTAGATTCTAAATTTAGTACGATCGAAGCATTATTTTAAACTTTTAAGAAAAGTATATAGTTTGCATAAATTGATTGTGAAAGGAGAAACTTCCTTCGTTTGTTATCATACGGAATGAATATTAGTAACAAACTTACAATGTTATAAGGAAACAACTATTTTCGTTGAATAGAGCAAGCGTGCTCGGAGCTCAACCAAGACCAACCTATGAAACGGTCGGTCTCAGTCGATCTCCCAACAAAGCTGTCTAAATAAAGGTCTAGGACTCTAGGACATGGTCACATATCCACCTACATACATTTGTTAGTTTTAGAAATGAAGTAAATTAAATTAATATACGTCACATACTCGATTTCAATTGTCGCAAAGCCTTAGTCATTGCTAGTAAGAAAAAAAAAAAGTTAGTTCATCTGCTTTTGGTTTGGTCCATTGTATTGAATTATTAAGGGAACTTTGATGACACATCGTGACTACTTTGGTTTGCATCATCATTTATCTTTTTACAAATAAACCATTGAGTGTGCCTTTATGATCTGTCACCAAACGTCATGACCCATACATTTCTTGAAATGTAGCGATATTTTTCTTTGTTGAGTATGTTTAAAGCTAGCACAGAGGAGGAATAAGTCCTTATCTTACAAATATGAAAGAAATTTTGTTTTTTTTCCAAAACTTACATGATGAGAGAGCTTTAGTTGGAGAGCAAGTGGACCTAACTCTCTACTAACCCCAACATACCCTTTTGGTTCCACTTTCTCTATATATATTCTCACAAACTCACAAGGATTTTCATTTGTCATAGAATTTTAATTAAAATATACTCTATTTCACTCTATACAAAGAATGACAAACTTGAGTACACTTGTTGGCTGCCTTGTTATCATCTTCTTCAATGTGGTCGGACCGGCCTCTTCCGCTACTCATTCCGTCGAATGGTCGCTGGGAAAGGACTATACCTCGTTGGCTACCGGGAAGCCCTACGCTGTCGGTGATACAATGGGTACGCG